CAACCTGACCTGACCTGACCTGACGGGATTTCTTGTTTGTACCGTCTCCTTCAGCCGGCGCTGCGTTCAAAAAGTTTTTTCGGCTTTTTGTATTATGGGTTCCGGCCCCACCTAACTGCAAAGCTGCTCTCCGATATTATTTTCACGTGATAAAATCAATAAAATAATTTTCCCAATAAATTTCGTTCATCTTTCCCCTTTTCATTATGGTTTTTGAACATTTGAAATTCAAATGTCGATTTTTCGCGTGTAACTTTCCGACTTACAACACATTCTTAGACCACAAAATAATTAACCTAAAATAGTTTTTCAATTGACGTCGCGATTGGTTGTTCATACTGGTTTTCTTTTACAATGGTTTCAGTCTGCTTACAAAATATTGTTATTTTGTTCCTGTACACCGTTGTTTTCATCCCATGGCGTCTTGCGAAAATGGATCTACTGATGTTTTCATTAATGTTACCGTGTTACTTTTCGAACCTGTCCCCTTTCTGCATTACACCTGATCGTTACGAGTTTTACACAACAGGCTTGTTTGCGAGCTTACTTAGAAACTCTCGGAGGAAGAATCTTCAGTGAAAGAAATTGAAGTATTGGCGAGTACGATACTCTAACTGTAGACTTTAATCTGCACCCAAGGCTTTGCGTATACAAATTGTATCGCATGCTTCGTCTACTTGCAGGCTTCAGCGATGTGTAACCTAGTAGGGTCTCATGGCTCTCCATTCCAATTAGCAGGGCTTAGGTTACGGTTTTCCGTCACTGAACAACAGGTTTTCACGGTCATAAAGTCAGCCCCGTCTGCTTTTCATCAGACACGTGTAATAAGGAACTCCTTGGTGGTAGTATTTCGTCAAACATTTTATGCCCTAACCTCGTTTACGCCTTTAGAGTGCCCAAGACTGCCTGTCACTTACCATGGTTGTAAGTTTCATTTCTTAGTTCCGGTACATCAGTCAATTTGAAAACATTCTGATCGTCGCGTAGCCTCTTATGCTACCTTAGCGAAGATAAATCTTTCAGATGCCCTATCTCACCCACTGTACCCGCACCTTAGTCAATGTATCTCCACAACTAGCACTCGTTCCATGTATAAACATATAGCAGCACGCACCACTGCATACAAGTCTTCTATAATACCGTACTTGGCACGGTTTCTTACCAACGCTGATCTTTTCATTGTGACTCCGACAAAATCTGTGCTAAATTGGCTTTTTGTATATGTAACGTATCATCATACGTTTTGTTACCATATAATTTCCAGAGAAGTGATTGTGTAGGAGCTGAATGTTCATCCCCTATGGGAAGAATTAAAACCGCTTCTTGACTTGACTTGAAAAAAAATGATAGCGGTCATTTATTTTTTAATCTTCCATTATTTACTATCTTTTTATGAATCGTAAAACAATGGAATTTTGATGAAAGAAAAGAAGCCAATCCGAGGACCCACCCTTCCAGATTTCGACGAATCCAATCTTATTTGTGTCTAGGAAAATTTTCATAACCTATTTAACACGTGTACTCACTAACAGACAAACAGGTAGCAGGTAAGCACCTTTATCTTAGAAGGTAGATTATTTTTTAATCTAGTAGACTCGATGATTTTTGTGTAAATTACTCATTACAACAGTTAGTACGTGAATTCATTACCTAAAATATAAACTACTCGAGTTAGATAGTACGACAAATCGCAAAAATGATGTCGATAGTCCTTACTATGTTCCTGTTTTAAGTCCGTTTCTTGCACTCTTTAGCTGCGAAAGGCTATACGGAGCCATCGGTTTGTTCCCTGAGGCTTATCGAAGACTCCGGGGATGTCATTTGTAAGTCAGTTTTTGCAGGAATATGGGGCGGAAACTCCGATCTTCCTTCTCTACAGGATCACTCGTGTCATTCGTTGACGCTACCGAGGCTATCCTTTGTGGACCTTCCGCGGAAGTACGATTTATTGGGACATAGTGGTTATCTGTCAAATACATTAACTGCAAAGGCAATGGAAACAAACAACAATGAAGAGGAAGCAGAACGCTGTTCTACACACGAAATTGCAAGAAGCCTTTTTTCTTTACACATCGTTGGACTGGCAGCAACATACCGCTCACTCAACCTAAGCCGTGGGATTTGAAGTGGTAAACCACACATGACCCCACTAAAATAGGCTTTACATTTAACTGACAACAATGAGCCTGCCGACCACAATAGTTTACTGGCGATGGTAGGATTTGAACCTTAATCATTAGAGTCTTAGGTACACCTGTAACAACTAATTGAGACGTTTGACCACCAATAGCCAAAAGCGAGAGAGGATAGGCTGTCGTGGAAGGTATCCCACTGCTTGAAATACAGTAAATTAAAAGCTGAATCAGGCTTTTAGAACTCCCTTAGGGCCACTAACCTCCTGTGGTTTATCAACTAAGTTATGTCCCTGTATGTCTGTTCTTTACCCTGGGACTCTGTTGGAGATATGTTATTGATTAGGGAGTTCTCAGCAGATGCTTAAAAGAACACAATCTTTGGGAATATTTCTTAGGCGAGAAGTACGCCTCATCCAATGGAAAAAACCGCGGCTTTTTGAGGACAATATTCATAAAATTCTTTTGGGTTGTCGGCCTTCAATTTGAGGTATCCTTGGATCACTGCATAGTTAAAACATTTTTGAAACCTAACCAGTTGAAATGTGGTATTTTCTGTTCCTGGTATACTCTGGGTCTGAATAAAATAGTTAGGGTGCTGCTAAATATGCAAACCACAGTTAAGTCGAGCTCAGGATAGCAGGCCTATTGTGTATATGTAACTGCAGAAAAAATCACTCATCGATAGTATATTAGTATATTAGTATCATCGTGTAAAGCAACCCACATTCATTGGAGTTTCGTATGCATTAAAATCAATGTGCAGATTTGTAAGCCATTTTGACCACTTGATGTTAGTCGCGATGAACTTGTGTAGAAAAACGATGCTCACACCTCAAATCAGAACACTGACTGTTAAATGGGTTTTTGAATCCCATTTCCTCATTGCTTCTTGATTCAGCATCCCGGAAGCTCTTAAATTGGCCGCTTCTTTCGTATCGTAATGCGAAAGTCTCTTCCAGTCATTTCCTTTTCTTCATTGAGCATACATTATCCATATACAAAAAGTGGAAGCAAGCACTCCATTGTGCAGGAGTTAGCTACATAAAGGTAAAGTAAGGAATATATATATATATATATATATATATATATATATATATATAGCAATGTATGTGGATACGAAATACCATGAAATGAAAACTGATTGCTGCCAGGTTCCTAAGATCACCAGGAAGCCTAGTGTGACCTACAGGATCGAGTCTCCTGATCATGGTTTTTACACCCTCAGCCCAGGTCTTAGCTTGTTCAGTCTTGATTTTTTCCCGACAACTTCTGCAAATACTCCACACCGAGTCTGTAGTGCGAATGATTTGACCAACAACTGTATTCTCGTGCTATCATACTGACATTAACCTTGTCCAGGTAGCACACTGTCTAACTTAGATAACGTAAAAAAACATTTTATTGTAGGGTGAAGATCCCGGTAAATATTAAGTGCTGCATTTTCCATAATTTACCAACAATTCGAGCAGCTAAACCACAAATTTCACAAGATTATATTGACTACACCGGATTTCGATGTTGCTAGGCAGATCTAGATTTGATAGTTGGTTTCTTAGACAACTACATGTTTCCTGAAGTGTTACTCAATCAAAAAGCCTTTTTAGGGTGTTCCAAATTCGGGGCATCTATGGCTTCACAGCAACATTCGTCTGTTCCTGAAGGACAGTGTATGTAGCATTCACTCGGTTTATCATAATTTTTGGTCATGATACGTGCCAGGCCCATGCAATAATTAAACAAACTATCGTGTTCGGACAACGCGACGTACGGGGTATTGCTATTTTGTTTCAGCACCAGGACGAGCACTATCGAGGTTGAACGAAGTACTTGAGTATTTTCGTTTACGCTTTATCGCGAGTGCTTGGTCTTCGCAAATTGCAATGATTTTTTGGTGGAAGATGATGTGTATTTTATATTTTCATACACGTCTGAATCCAGACTGTGCGCCCAATAAGTCATGGTACAATAATCTTTATGAAAAAATACACGTTCCATGATTTCCATGTGGGCGGAATACTGTCAGATTGCCCAGGCCCAGGCCAAGGCAGGTGGAAGACGATAGGTGGTAGGCAGCTTTGCTGTCACCCGGTTCTATACCACACCTGACCTTGCTGGACCTTATGTGGTTTGCCACTCCTAGTCCCGGGGATCAGGTTGCCGGTTATAATCACTGAACAGCAGGTCTTCGTGATTATGGGGTCCTCCCCGTCTGCTGTTCATTACACACTGATGCAACACTACCGCCGACTGTGATCAAGGCTCTCGACTAATTCTAGCTGATCACTCCAAAGAGTGAGTGCAAGCATAGGCTCCTGCCAGTCTTAAACAAGTATTTCGCACTTGGATAGTGCAAGGCACATATCACACCTGGTTACCTCGATCACCAGACGGTCACTGTTTTCCTTTGTATCGTCATTACTTTTGATTTTGCTTATCTCAGATTACTTATTCTGTACCCATTCTTCTCGCATTTGAACACCGCTGGGGCTAAAATGTCTCGTCACCGCGACGTAAACCGCTTGACCACCCCAACATCCCTGGGTGGTTCTCGTCGGTCAGTGGTTATTTATTTACCACCGACTTGAAAACAAGCATGGTGCCAACGCACCAACGATGACAGTGGCGGGGATAGGTGGTTAGGGCGTTTTTGTGGCAATACCGTATACATATTCCGCTGGATCCATTCGTGCTAATACTTCTCTTCCTGTTAGCCTATTTTAGGCTGCAATTCGACATAGACCAATAGATTTAGCTGAATTACATCTTGTTCCCCGATACTCACCCGCTGGTATTTTATTTTCGACGCTTACCATCTGACCTCACCTTTTAAATTTCAGAAGTCGATTCGAGTCTGAATTACTTGGAATGGGTAGAAGGAAAAACAGCGTCGTCCGATGTTTGGAACAAATACAGAAGATTAATTATGAACCACCGCCGCTGCAAGATGCTTGTCCGACGCTGGATAAAGGTAGTCTATTTTTCTTTGATGTTCACTCTTTTCCTAGTTGTCAAGTCAAATGAAATGCACTTGTTTGACCTTACCTCTTTGCAACTGGAATTGGAACGCTTACTCACCAGTATAATGGAACGACTCGCTTGTCTGTCTGCGGAATCTAAAGGGCATGAGTTACCTCCTGAAATGATGCAAGCGTTACACTTATTAAACTCCAGTAACGATCCTGAGACCGGTCAACCCGCATTGGCTGGTCCTTCTTTAGTGGTTAAGGCCAATCCCGACAAACCATTGACTCTCATAATATCTCAGAGGAGTCGAACGTCTCAACAGTCCGCCCTATCCTCGTTGGATGCATCTATCGGTAAAATAACAAAATCTGGTCAGTCGATTCCGTATGCTCGACGAACTAGTCGCGTAAGTTTTCATTTACAGTGGTTTCCGATCATAAAGCTCGTTTATATGTCCTCACATTTCCCCTTTTGAATCCAATACCTCGAATTCCGTTTCACTTTGTGCAACAGTTTGACTTGCACTTTTGTGCGGTGGTTTTGGTTGCTTTTTTTAGCAGCCCATTTCGACGAGGAGGTAAAGGGATGAACTAGAGCTTTACCAATGCGAAGATAAAGATTCTGACGGACTAGGAAATCCAGTAGACGCTTCACTGTTTACGACACTCACTTTTTCCGATCACTTGTTACTATATATTTCACTTGCGTCTGATTGCAGATTGCCAAACCATGGCACAATAATCACTACCAAAAATTCGGTCCATGATTTGCTGGTGGGTAGAATACTACCAAGTTGTCCTGGCCACCTCAGGCGAATTTTCTTGGA